TTTGTGTCAAAATCTCTGCCAAATGCTTTAATTAATTAATTGATGCCACGAAGAGCCTTCTTAGTTGCAAAACTCTGAACATAATGAAGTTAGCCACGCATTCATATTCTCAAATAATAAACTTTTTTCAATGAAACTTAATGATTTCGAAGGACTAGTCTGCTAACTAGTTCAATTAGTCCTAGATATTGCAAAATAAATGATCTTAGTTCAAAGAAAGCTAGATACAGAACACTTAAGCAACTGATGTCCAATTTTTTCGTACTTACTGTGAGACTAGTTCCAAACTTGTCTAGAAATTAGTTTAATTAGTATTGGGTACCAATATTATAAACGTGATGTCGACATACATCTAATAATTTTGTTTTTAAATTAAGATTAAGCTTAAAAATTTACTTTGTAACTAGTCCGAAATTGTACCAACTCGTACTAGTTACAATTAGATTATATATTGTGTACAGCTTATTACAATGTTTAACTCCTTTTCATTGTCTTCGCTTTTCTTGAGCTATTTAGCACTAGCTTTTCCAGCACATACCCGGCACTGCAGCTTGAAGCCATCACACTTCCGCTCCGCACGTTGTTATTCAATACAACTATTTTTCTATATGTACACACATATTTACTTCTATGTGCACGTATATATGAAACATATACATTTACATATGCATAAGCATTTAAAAGTATATAAGCATCTAAATGTGCCAGTTTGTTTGCTTCATGTGGCATGTTGCAAGTTTCTATTTGAATATCACTAATATTGCTTTCGTAGAATTGCATGCTATTTTTTTTTTTTTTACTATTTACTCTGCTATTTGTTGTCTGCATTGTTTTACTACTTTAATTTCTTTATTTTTCTTTGGTGCAACATACTTTCCAGTTTATTGTCATCTCACCTCTTTTTTTTTTATTTTGCATTTCTTGCACATTTTGCTATTTTTCATTTTTACAAAAACAGGTTGTTGTTAGTTTTCTTTACATTGTTTATTTACTTGGTGTTTTCATGTCAGCGAACGCTCTCGTTTCGAGTGGTTTCGATTTTGAGATGCTTCCAGTTAGAATGCAATATTCTCTACTACTAATTTGCACTACTATTACCGTTAGAAATTTTTTCTCTACTTTGTCATCGCAGAAGCATCAGTGGCGTGTTCTCTTTTTCTATTTATAATGTACTCGGATAATATTCTAAATTAAACTTGATTGCTGTTCAATTACGAATCTTCAGCTTTGAAGAAATTAAGCGGAAGTATGTAAATTTTATCAAATAAGGTGCCTCCCGAAAAAGTTAAAAAATTGCGAAAACTACTATTTATGCTAGAAGATGTCCTGTTTAGGACAAATTTTAAATCGTCACCAGAATCGAATTATCATAAATGATCGAATTTATAAAGCGTCGTGGAGATACATACGATTAATGACTAATATTTTCACTAACAGTTGTTTCTGGGATCTTTCGGCAAGCTAAGCCAAGCCAAGCCAGACCAAGCCAGTTCCTCTTCTCTAATCACGAAATTGAATAAGATTTCTAGATATATTGTATTGACTAATTTTTACCTTAGAAGAGAAGAGTGGGCGCAAGAAAGAACATTAGTGGCAGGAAAGAAATTCACTGAATTATCTTAATACAAAGCAGACACCATGTCTCTCTCTCTGTACTGAAGGTATAAGCAAAGGACGGGTTCGTCATCTCTGGTATTGGCAAAGACATCATGAATGTAAACTGTCTAAGATCAGTCAGATACTTCAGTTTTTCTATAACTCTTTCTTTAGGGAAGTGTGAACAGACTCCAAAACGTGCTACGTTTAAGTAAATTTTTTAAAGCAGTCGTCTCTAGGACCTTACCTCTTTAAGTAAGTTAGAGTCAATAGCCAATCTGAAAGAAATTGAGCATTCTTCTCTAGAATCGGAAATTATAAAATTTACAGGAAACTGCGCTAGGTTGATTTTCAACTGATATTATATTAAAAGGAATTATTCGATTTTACTGTCGGAATAGAAAGCGCTTTAATATATAAAATTTTTAATGTTGGTATTTATTAAAAAAAAATCTCTTTTATGGCTCTCCTCTAGACACTTACTGAGCAATTAATTTTCACTTCTTCTGCTTTGCTTTTCATTTCTTCATTTCTAGCCACTTGCTTGCGGTTCAATAACACTTCGATGGTTTCCGGACTATTTTCGCAGCCGACATACATAAATATTTACCTTATACAAATGAACACGTCGATATTTCTTTCTGTGACACATAATGGTTGGTGGTAAATAAGTACATACTCGTATATTTAGTTTTCTCATCCATCTCTTTATAGCATTCAAATCCTCTTAAGGGCTAGTAACCTATGTGGAAAATTATATACACATACATACCGTATGACATATAAATAACGGTGTACATTTGTTGGCTAAAATATTATTGTAAGCAAATGAGTTGAAGTGTCAGATTTCTGTATCGCTAGTTTGCTGAACAGTTTGTAGACACGTATATTATTTTTGTTTATCAAAGCAGTGTATGACTCACTGAAAGTTGGCAACTAAACCGATCTTATGGTTAAAACACAGATACTCATGCAACGATTTCTTATTTATAATTACTGTATTATTATATTAAATAACTGTTATAATATTACTTATGTGATCTGAGCTGAGAGCAACTTTCTAATCGTTCAATTAAGCGAACTTCAGCTATTTTCATTTTATTTATTGTAAAAGTTTTATGCAACCCTGTAAAATAGTAAACTTTTGCTTGAGCTAGCTGAGATTGTTTAAGTATATTAATGGACCTACAGCCAAGTGATAAAGAAAAGTAAATTCTGCATTCAGTCCATTTTACATTAATTACAGAAGTGAGTTCTCATAGGCAAGAGCACTAAAAATACATATTTCAGCAAATTTAACTTTTCCTTTTTTATAATCTTGTACTGCCAGACTTCCAGCCGATATAAGCGTTCTTATTTATTTACTCTATTGCCTCCAAAAGGAAAAAACTTGCCGCTGAAAGTGTAGGTCATCTAAAATTCACCTGTTAAACTCACGATCTAAGCTTGAAAGACAGTCTTTGGTAGTCTTTTAGTGAACTTTTCATTACTCATTCGCACAGACAATATTCTATAGATAATCCGTCGGTTGACAAACACCTTCCAATTTCATTTCATTAACTATTCGATCCAACAGATTTGTCGATATCTGTAGTATCCCTCAATCCTAAAATGTGTTTGCTCTATTATAAACTGAATTAATTTCTTTCAGTTGATATTATCGAAAAAAAATTTGAGATCTTAAAAATTTTTCATAACCTCATAGCAGAAAATTGGCAAAAAAATTGAATGTTGCCCAAAACTCACAGAAACACCACTAGCTGTAAAATGTTTAATTTTAAGTTATTCTTGCGGTTTTCAATCTTGCCTTCAAACGATGATTGTGATCTACGGCAGTCTTACTTAACTAAATATTTTTATTCGCTTCTTTTACACTTTTACCTACTGAAATTTTTAAATTTTTTTTCTAAAATCGCGGACCAGACAGAAAATTGTACCCCTTTTGAAATCAACGGAACCATATTATGAAGGATATAGAACCGTATATATCACTTTTCTCCAAAATATCTTGATATGATTCGGTCACCAAAAGTTCAATCCAATAAAGCAATGATATTACCCCCGAATAGCTTGTTTCACAGTCCTGCTGGAACTATTTACCATACAAGTTTGAAGTATGATATTAACATGAGAAAGCAAAAGAATTAAAAAACCATGAGAGTCTCGAGAGTATCTTCAAGATTGTTTTCACTTGCTTCATCGCTGATTTAACAGTAAATATAGCAATATTCGTTTGTAGCACAGTTTTAAAAGTAAACGTGATTTATAGAAACTTGTGAAAAATATACTAAACATAAATGTCAAACAATGCGTTCACTTTGTTAGCTGTTTTGACAGCTACCACTTTGGGAAGTAAAAGCAATTGAGGTGCTATCATATTTCTACAGAATAAATCGCTTTTTCTGAAACCCTTTAGTAATATTCCCCAAACATCACTTATATAATAAGTAAAAGTACGTGGATCAAATAATGGCATATGTTCGTAGAAAAAATTGCAAGTAATTCATCAGAGTTGGAAGATTTGTTTGGTGTCGGACATATTTTGGAATACCATTTAATAATTCAAAATAAAACATTAACTTCGATTGGATAGAAGCTATAATAACCTTCACAAATAAAATGGTTCCATACAGCTTGATTTTGAGTGTGCAGTTTGTATGGCAGCTATATTGTATAGTAATCCGATCTAAACAAATTCTTTGGAGACTGTAACGATGCCTTGGATAATAATACATGCCAAGTTTCGTGAAGATATCGCGTCACATAAACAAGTTTTCTTTACAAGAACCGATCGTTCAGTTTTTATGGCAGCTATATGCTATAGTTGTCGGATATCGGCAGTGCCAAAAAATGTGTAGGTTCTTGGAGAGAAAAGGACGTGTGCCAAATTTCAGATCGATATCTCTAAAACTTAGGGACCAGTTCGCGTATATACAGACAGAGGAGCGGACAGACGGAAATGCCTAGATCGACTCAGCTTGTCAACCTGTAGAACTATATATGTATATATTCTCCGGCAAAGTTCTCCGTGTTGCAAACTTCGTGGCAAACTTAACATACCCTGTTCCCTGCTTGCATAAAATTATTACGAAAAACATCACTTCTGTCAACAGCGAGGGCTTTCGTCGAGTAATTAGCACTGGAGGCACAGGGACCGGTGCTTTGGTTTAACCAGAATAACGTACTGTGCCAAAACACAAATACTAAAACAGCAGAAAGAGCTAACAGAGAAAAATATGTTTCTGCACTAGATCTGGATCTGGATATGCACCTGTGTTTTAATGGATCTTTAACTATTTTTATTTAAGTTTGAAAACAAAATGATTTGAAAACAAAATTTGTCGGATACGAGATTTTTAATTGATATCATAAAAATTTCGTATATGTTCTTATTTAATACTTACCTAGAAAACCCCTGAGGAAGCTCAAGACTGTAGTCTTTGAAATAATTTTAATTAGATTTTTCTCAGTGTATGTGTGCGTATTGGTTGAAACTCACTTGATTTATTTTTTATTTGTGCTTAATAAACAATTTTAAAATTTATTCAGATTATATTAGTTAGTATGTTTGGTTAGTAAAACCGCTTAGCTCACGTTAGTATTGTTAAATTTAACTAACTATTTATATTATTTAAATTTGATGCACTATTTTACATGCACTTTGAATCAACGCCAAACACAATGTACTTTTGTTGTTCTTCTTATTTTAACTGTTTATTTTCCACGCGATTTAATTAAGTGCGATAAATCTGCAAGAGTAACAAATTAAAGCCAAAGTGTTGGGAGAGAGCGAGGCAGCTGTGCTCCTTAGAGCACCAAATTGCAAGCAAAAATCGCAAATGAAGACTTTATCTGTGTGTGTGTGGGTGCGAGTCACCTATAAAATTCACTTAAAATTAGAAAATGACTTGACGTAAATTAAAGTAACAAATTAAAGTAATTAAATGTGACGACAGGGAAAAAAACTCGTTGACAAAAAAAGCAGGCGAGGGCGAACCACCTTTATGTCATTGGGACTCAAGGCTGCCGTCGTTTTCGTCGTCGTTATACCTAGCGCCACTATCGTCAGTCATCGTGTACACCTCACTGGGGCATTCACCAATTTTAATTCAATTTTTATGCTGCAAGTATGTCGCTGTAAATTCATCACTTGACACGCGTTAGGGTGCCAAGAAAGGGGACACGACTTAGCTGCCAGCACTAGATAGACGCACTCACATAGTAGTAGTTGAACTCGGCACTGACGCTAACAACAACAACAAAGCGTCACACTCTCTCCATGCAATATAGTTTAATTTAATGAGATCTCATACTCCTTTGGCTATTTTTATATCAGGCGTTTGCATACTTTGGGGCGCGTTGAAGGGTTTCTCGGGCATGTGTGTCTACGCGAACGTAAGTAAATAAATGCCATTGAATTTATGTGCACTTGGAATTATGAAGCTATAAATTTATAAATAACTCAATGTGAAGTGAGGAAGGAATGCGATGAAAGAAGGGAACAGAGGGAGAGGTGTTATTAAAATGCTAGAAACTAGACTGTCACCCTCAGCAAAAGTTAGTGAAAATTAAAAATGTAAGAAAAAAAGGAAAGAAAGATTAAAAAAATATAAGAGTTGTTTTCTATATAGTTATTAGCTGCGAGGGCGGCAGTATGAAGGAAGTGTATGAAAAACGTAAATTCGTTGCTATTCGAGAGCTATTTTTTATTTATTACTAGCTAATTGATGGCATTTATACAATTACCATGTAGAAAATGAAACATATATTAAGAAAAATAAATATCGAAATAAAATTATCAAAAAATAGACAATTCAAAATGTGCAGGGTTTCTCGCTTCTGCAAAGATACATTGAAGAATAACATTTTGAAAAAAATATGAAACTGAACTGAAAACACAACAAAGCTGTAATAAAAAAAATAAAAATAAATAGATAAAAACAACAAATAAAATGATATAAACGAGTGTCAAAAGAACGTGCCAATCAGTTAATAAATTTTGGAAATGTACTGTTAACATTCCATTTCACATTATTATTTTTCCAAATTTTGCAGTGCTATATTTTAAGTCGCTTAATCATTGCCTTATCATCTTCTTTGATTTAGAAACGGAATTCATGTATGTATTACTATTCTTGCTGTAAATGATTTTTTCATTTAAGCGAGTGTTTTTTTCGTACTTGTTTACCGTTGTTTTAAACAAAATATACGTAAAAGTGTTCTGTTGTCTCTCGCTTCGATGAAACTGGTACTGTGTTATAGCAAACGATGAATAAATTAAATGAATGAAAAAAAATTAAAAAATAATCTTTAATATAGTGATGTTTCTAAGATAATATAGAAATTATAGACTTTGGAGTAGTCGGTAACTCAAGTAGTATTTAACTGCGATATGATACTAAGTAAGAATTATAGAAAATGTTGCATTGCTAACAATATAAAAAAGGTAAAACCAAATGCGTCCGTAAAGTAAAGGCGCGATTTCAAAACATGTCAAACTGTTTTATGGAAGAACTTTATTTAAGATTTGGTTTCCCAACATCAGTGGATTTGAATCAGAAGTCGTCGCTCAGTCATTTCTTTGCAAATTTCGATGTTTCTGATTTGTTCTAGTTATTCGAATCAAACAGTTACTGGATTCTACGTTAAAATTTCTGAAATTTTTGCTCTCTCTACTCGGTAAAGAGAAGATAAAATAGTCAGGCAGCAAGCCCGCTGTTATCATCATTTGTAGACTTTGCATTTGTTTTAAGGTTAAACATATGTAAATAGATTAATATATTTCCAAGAAAAGTACTGTTATGGGTATACGAGTATAAGATTACCTGGAATAAAAATGTAAAAGTCTAGGGAGATCGTTGCCAAGCTGGCGGACACAAGTTATAGACACTATTTTATATATACTTGTAATAATTGCATATTTCTAGAGGAAAATTAAAATTCCGTTCGGTGGCACAAGAGTCACTTTAGAAGTAAAAATTTATTTTACGATTTAGGGCATATTGAAGATATTGGCAAGAGAAAGTAAACTATACTGAAGGTTGCAAATAATGCATTAAAAAAAGGAATTCAATTAACATTTGAATTAAATTTTTTTTTTTTTGTAATCCCAAATACGGGACTAAAATATAAAAAACAAAATTTTAATCCCAAAAACCGGATTAAAAAACAAAAGTTTTAATCTCAAGCATATAATTAAGAATTAAAAAAATAATTTGTTTTAGAATTAATATTTGCCCTCGCTCATTTATTTCAAAAAAGTAATATTTTCAACAACAGTTTTTAATCCGAAATTTTTTAATTAAACACTTCGCAAGCCTGATTACACTACTTTGAAAAAGTTTCTCAAGTATGCTCAAGGTAGAATTTAAATAAAATAAAATTTAATTTAATTTAGAAAAATATATTTAATGATATACAGAAAAATAAATTAAATATTTTATAATTTATTTAAGCTTCAAAAATATTTTTCTCAGTAGTAAATCCCTTATGTTTCCTTTAAAAATTTAATTACAAAAGTTTTAATTAATATTATTTTAAATAAAAAACTGCAATTAATTGTGTGTTTCAATTTTTTATGCTTATGTAAGCATTTAAGAAATTGTGGCACTCCGTTGAGCTAATGCGAACTGGCGAGAGCGAGAGAGAGAAGGCGAAGAAAGCCCAATTCAGCACCACAACTTTTACTTAATTGCAGTGCATTTGTCTTTATTGACGGTAATTTTGGCTAATTGCATGTTGTTGTTGTTATTTGTGGTTGTTGTTGCTGCCACAGCTGTTGCTGCGTCTGCGATTGCTGCTAATGTGGCGCAACACTCAATTAAATTTGAGTTTAGTGGGTTTTCTTTTCTCAATTTTCCTCGAACACATGTACTTGCTTGCATGTTTACCCCCCGCTTGTGTCCCTCGCTTTCATTGCGCTTAGCTAATACCGACGTAATGAAGTGTGTGCAGCTGTAAATACGCGTATAAAGAGATGAATGCATGGCTATAGTTAATTAATTCATTTAAGTTTTTTTTGCTGCTAATTTTTGAATTATTTATTTTTTGCAGAAACTTTCTGTTGAAAACGCAAAAGATTGCTTGAAAATATATTTATATTATTGCTACTGTGGCCATCTATTGTGACCTTACCTAATATACTAGCGATGCATATAATATTAAGTGAAAAAATATTATGACAAACTAATAAAACAAAATGTATTGGAATTGTCGACTCACTTTTATGGAACAAAAATGGGTTGAACGTTTTTTAATTTTCTTAATTACAAAAATAAAATTAAAAAAAATTTAAAAATATATTGAAGATAATATTTAATAAAAATGTATAGCTATATTGTAAAAATATTATACAGGGCTTGACATGAAATATACAATAAATATTTTGTAATTTTTTTGGCTTCAAAAAACAATTTTTCTCACTTATTAATCCGCTACATTTTATTCAAAAATTATTTGCACACCTTTCAATTAATACTTAGCATGTAAATTATTTTATTTCACAATGAATAATAAAATGTTCGAATTTTATTTTAATTTCAATTAGTTGCCTTTTAGTCAAGTTTACTAGATTTTTATTTTCTTAGTTTTGTTATGGTAATGAAAAAATAAAATTTTCTTTTAATACAGTTAAACAAAAAATTATAACACTTTTCCTTTAATTTTTTTTTGTGTTTTTGGCAAATTGAATTATAAGAAAATCAAAATACTCGAATGTGGCAAGAAAAATTCAAAAAACAAAATTTCAAAATTATATAAAATTTATTTTTTATTGCTTTCAGTTTTATTTTTCTTTTAAAAATATTTCATTCACTTCAAAGTATGTACAAAAAAATATCAGTTTTTCAAAAAATTAAGTATAAATAAAAAAATATGTAATTAAAATATAATATAAATTTATATATAAGGGTGGGTCGCAAAACAAATGTATTTTTTTCGCTTGGATTTTCTAAAAATTGGCCTCTTCATGTGTGAGCTCTTAGTTGTCCGTTTCAGTTTGTATGTCAGTCATAGGCTGTACAGACAGACGGGCATGGCTAAATCGACTCAGCTCATCATGCTGATCATTTAGGTATATAGGCTCTATGACGTTTCCTTTTGGGTGATACAATTTTCGTGGCTTTTTAGGGTATAATAGTGAATAAAAAAAATAAATACCTGAAACAATTTTTGGATTCTGATTTTTTCAATTGAAAGTGCTTTTTTATGAAATTGTTTTGCAAAATAAACAATTTTTATATAATTTTTTTTAAGTAAATTTATGTATAAAATTTGTATTTAAAATCGTATGAATTTAGTAGGGCATAACCATTGGTATCAAATTAATTTTTTATTACAATTTTTTTTATATAACAATTCTCTCAGATTTTTTAAATTTTTTTAATTTATTAACATTGTTGAATATTTTATTTTAATTAAAAAATGTATTAAACAAAACTTTGGCAAAATATATCTTAAAAAATCAGTTTTATTTAAGTTTTAATTTTTTCTCATTTAAAATATTTTTACTTTATATAATATATATATATAATAATTTATAAATCAATTAATAATGATACATAAACAATTTATCAAAATTAATAACAATTGTGTTTTTATTTTAAGTTTAAGGACAAAATATAATTATAAATTTATATAAGTATTACATATAATTAGAGAAAAGCATTATAGAAAATATAGAGGTTTAAAAGTAATCGAACATTTTATAACAAATTTTATTTTTTTACACAAATTTTGTTAATTATATAATATAAAATAATTAGTTATTAAAATAAAAATTTTTTAAGTTAATAATAAAATCATTTAAAATTATATATTGTTTCCAATTTCTTTAATATGTGAGTTTTTTTTTTGAATTTGCTCCAAAAAAACTTAATTTAAATAAACTTTTAAAAATATTAGTATATAAATTAATTAAAAACTATAAAAAATTAATAACAAAAAATTATTATTTTTGTAATTTTAAGTTAAAACAAAGCTTCATAGGACGAATAAGCATTTAAAAATAATGAAACAATTAATTAAAATTTCAATATTTTTACATAAAACTTATATGATATTTTTCATTTATTAAAAAAAAATATGTTTTAAAATTATAAATAAATAGTTATACATACATTACAATAATTTTTTTTATTGTATCGAATTTATTGAAAATTTTTTTTTTTAAATGGCACTAGTATTGTTTGTTGTGTTACTAATAAGACAAAAAAATTTCTGTGAGGTCACAGAATTGCATTTATATACTTATATACACAACTTAGAATTAAACTTTTTTCAAATGCACAGTTCTAAATGGCAGGTGTGTGAATTGATATAAATAACAAATTTTGATTTTATTGTTTTAAAATTTAGTTTTAAGCAGACTGTATTTAATGTAGCAAAAAAAGTATCTAAACTCAAAAAGATATACTGAAAAAAAATTGTAGACATCAAGCTACAAGTATGCATTTTTTACTTCAAAATTTTGTGATTTTTATACAAATATAATTTAAAAAAAATTTGGAAACTACAAATTAAAAATATATATATGTTTTTCAGAAACATCCAACTATGTTACAAAATTTTGATAAATAATATATATTTTTGAGCCTCCCGATGAAGTAGCGAAAAAATATGCGTGTTAAAAAACGAATTAAATATTTGACAAATTTAACAACCTTCACTTTCAACAACACTTTGACGCGCTGCCAACAGCATACAAGCGTCCATATGTAACAGTAATTTGTAATAGCTGCTCACACAAACATTTGAACACAAAATTAATTTTGTTGCTATTTTAATTTTTATTGTAATTTTACTTTTTAGTTATTGCGTGCACTCTTTAATTATTATTAAATATTTGTCGACTTAGACGCATACGCGCGTTTTGTAAACCTTAAGTGGGCAGAAATGAGCCACGCGGTTACAAATCTACAAGCGCGCTTAGAGCGAGAAAGCCGAAAAACAACAATGGCAAAATCGTAATAGAATTTACAGTTTCCGCTCGCAAGCAGCGTCAGGAAATAGCTGGCTGAGCGCTGTTCCGACACTTTCAATATGGTTTGAATATATTTGCTAAGCAGCGGAAGTTGGCTACTAGGCGGCGTATGGCGTGCGCTTTGGTTAGATTTGTTTATGTGTTGTAGTTTTTATTTTTTTTTATTAAAGTGGTTTTTCGGTATGCGCTGCCGTTTATGCAAAGCGCTTTTAAACGCTTACGTTGAAAGCGGATAGCTAAGAGCAACACTTTAGCATTTGGATACAAAGCAACGCGGTAAATGAATACAGCACGCGCCCGGTTAGCTACAATCTCAAAATTTTTTACACCACTTGTCAATAATCAAAATATGCAATTGCTGGAACTATCGCTTGAGATGCGTTGAGTCGCTTTGTATAGAAATTCTGCCGCGCCGCTTGAAGTACGATTAAACTAAGCGCAAATATATGCAAGTACACGTTTTGAACTAAGCGCGCGGAAATCTCTCGGAAATAATTTTTTATTGCATGCGTTTATTCGAAAAGCTGCGTTTATGCTAGGCTACTAGATTATCAGTGGCGCTATGCTTGGTTACTTTCTGAGTATTGGTTAGTTATTAGCGGGCAAAAGAATAAGAACGCGACCGCTCGTACACGTTGTCGCTTATAGACTGAAGCGTTTGGTAGCGGCTGTTGGCTAAAAAACATGGCCAGAATGGCAAGAACGCAACGATGCAACTATTTTGTTGCAGCAGCAGCGCCGATTGGATAGCATGCGATGTGCAGCAATAGCATGGCAAAAACAAAACAGCTAGACAGTAGAACAACAGCGCGGCAGTACAAAAACTAAAGCAAAAACAACAAACTAGCTATTTACATGCTACGCATATGGCAAACTAGAATAGTTGCATGCACAGTTGCAGCCAGCGGCGCACAGCCAACCAAACCGCTTTAGCAAACTATAGACGTACACGAAAGCGGCGCTCGCACACTGCACTCTGCACTCACTGCTTGGCGCGCTGCAACGCTGCAAATAACGCCACTCTCGCAATGCTATTGTTAAATCTCAGTAGGCTAAGGAATTGAGCGCGCGCGCATCACAGCAAAGTGGAACGCGCTCAGCTGCAAGCTTTGCTGCAACGCTATGGCATGCGGCGTTTGCTGTGTTCGCCGTCGTTTAGCTTAAAGTCAAACAGCGTTTGCAATTCGTTGCCCATTGGCTAACATGGCCCGAAGCGCCGCCGGTTGCAGTGTCGTGTCCTCGCCGCCAATGTGGCGCCACAAACGCGCGTAGCTGGCGCAAACGTCTGCAGCTAGCGTTAATAGCATCAGCAGCAGCGCTGAGCTGAACCGCATTTCCTACCTGATATTGCATAAAAATAAAATAAAAACAATTTACTGGAACGCTGCATTTTGCTAAGCACACTAACAATTTTATTCCACAAAAAAAATTAAAGCGGCTGAGCGTTGTTATTGCAGCCGACGTCAAGCGCCCCGCCGAGGTAGCGCTCAGCCGACAGAAGTTAGCTAATATACATATACATATGTACTGAGTTCGCAGCTGTAGTAACCTACCGTCCGACCACGAAGTGCTCACCTACTCACCACACCTCTGCGCTCATACAGGAAGTATGCGGTAATCGTATGTTTGTGTCACTTGCGGAAGTGCAAGTGCCGCTACTAAATGGCTTCTTTCGTGCAATTCGGTTCATCAAATTCACCACGCTTACCGAGCCTGCATAGGCCCAAAAGTAACGAGTAGCAGCTTTTGCTGAAATGCTCTTTGAGTTGGTGAGTGGTGAGAGCATTTACAGTTAAATACCGTTAGCCAAGTGTTTAAAGAGAGTAAAATAATGTTGAGGTAAGAGCGTTACTCTTTCTTTTGTTAGCATTACAGAGACAAAACGTTTGCTTAAACAAAAAAAACTTGGTTTGAAAATTGTGGAAATATTTTCCTGGCAGCTCGCTACGCTTAAAGAGATGACCGCTTATGAAGCGCAATTTCAGCTACTTTATAATTCTTAATATCCATTATTAGCTTTACATTCGCGGCTATGTAGACAGGGGAATCTAATTGCTTACCTTCTATTATATCTCAAAAGTGAGTCACGAAAAAATGTCGCTTAAAAATGTTATTCGACCAAATATGTATGAATATTAAGAATTCTCCATTTCTTTAAATATTGGGTCACGTTCTAAGAAAGATCTGCATTTGTTTTTGAATATCGTTATCACTTAAAAACGGAAGGATCGCATTACCAAATGTGAAATTCTTTTACTCTTTAGCCGTCAGCCCACCGTTATTATTTGAATTTGCCGTTCACTTCTCCGGCATTTGAAGCGACACCTATGAGCGTTCAAACGAAATCATTTGCCAAACATTGCAATTCTCTTGCGCTTAATAGTAAAATATTAACATTAAGTTACTCTTCATTAGATCTTAACGCATTCTCTTATTTGTTAAAGAGAGTTTATGGTATCGATATTAAGAGTAAAACAACATTTTAAACACGCTCTAGCGGATTTTTTTAGTTCATATTATAACGGTAAAGACTCTCATATTTTAGATCTAAGCCCCAGGAATTTCCTTTTTAGAAGAATGGATTAGATATCTATTTCATGAGTTAATAATTTTGAATTAACTATATACATTTTCAAACTTTTGGTAAAGCATATATTATTATAATATTACATGCGACATCTAAGCGCCAAAGTATTGTAAAATGGATATTATTTAATATCTTTGAAATAAAAATTAAAAATTATATATATTGAAAATGGACGTTGAATAGTAATACATACAACTTCTGAAACTTTGCGGCAGTCTCCTAGGTTTTGCAAATATACAGACTATGTGTGAAAAAAATAATTACACATACACCGAGAGATAACATATTTTAGACAATATATCAACCGTTATGAGAATCTAAATTATCATCTACTCTTGCTTGGCATAAATACTGCTTCATCATATAAGATACACTATTTGAATTTTGCTGTCAAATGTATGAAATAAATGTGAGATTTAAGTTCAGTATATATTTAGAAATTGTTGTACAAAAAATTTATTAAAATTCGTCCAAATTAATTACCGAAACTCACAAAATAGGTCTATCAATTTACCATCGTAGTCAAGGGTAAGTATAGATGCCGAGTCTATAATAACAAACCAGTACCACACAAGAATATTGCAGACTCACATTTTCTAAAAACAGTTATATATCTTTACTTAAATTCGGACTATTTTAAATACCAAAAAAACAACTTATAATTTTCCCAATTTCACAACAAATTTTCTAACTTCATTCCCACCTCAGTCACCTTGTCATAATATGTTGACTACTTTTAACCACGCTGTAAGCAACAGCTGTTCACTCTGCTCACAGAGAAAAGGCACCACCAGCAAATTTTAACATCAGCTGACAACATTTCTCTCTCTCTCAGAATAAGAGATACGCATAAAAAAAATTTAAAATAAAGTATGTTAACTATGCTGAATGCCCGTTATTCGAGTGCATTTCATTTTATGCTCATATCAAACTGTTCCCACATACTCTCATTTACAGTGGTGGTCTTATAAAAAGTACTGCTTTGGAACTTAATGCTTGTTTTTAAAATTGTCCTATTTGTTTTTCTATTGTCCAGATTTGAAGCCGAAAAAATATAAAAAATGATCAAGTTCGCAAAATGATAATTAACTTCTTGGTAATTTTATAAGTTGAACTTACCTGTGATTGCAATAATTTGTATTATCAAACAAATAATACCGAGGTTATATGAACTCCGAGAATTTCATCTGCAATGAAAAAAGTTGACACACCGTTAGTTTTTAAATGAGAGGGATTAAAGTTTAAATACTTCCAAATCACAGAAATCTCAGGAAGTAAGTAATCCTGCATGTTAAACGTATATACTTGTAATATTAAGAAATGTTGAAATAAAATATTAAATTTTGTAGATTATAAGTGAACTTTAAATTACACCTAACATAATCTTACAGAAGTTAGATATAGAGTGGTTTCCTTGTAGAAAATAAGTTTTATAGGTAACATTATCAAAAAGTCTCATCACTACACCTTGCTCAATATCTAGAATATTTTTAATTGAGCCAAACGTGCTAATAGAAATCGGTATGGCAATTAAGAGCACATATTAACCCAGCATACAGCAAAAGTTTACCTGAATACTTCCCACCCTTTTTTGAAGAGCGTTAATTTTTGTACTAGAAAATTATTTTTTCAGGGTTAGGTCAAAAAGTCGATCCTAACAAGGATCTTACTTGGACAGCTTATAGCCGGTCTATTGTGGTATCTAGAACTCATATAAAATTGAGCGCTTTCAGCCGATCTCAAATGTGTGGAGGTGGCTAATATCAGTTTCGGCTTTGTTTCGCCGAAGACATAACTGCAGAGGTGTTTCAACTTTAGACTTGCAAAAACTGGACAATGCAGGAGAAAGTGCATTGATGTTTCCATCTAAATGTGTACGTGATGTATGTAAGTATATAGAGTACTACGAGTGTTCCGGGTTTTAGTGCGAGATTTTTTTTTTATAATAAACTCTATGAAAGAAGCAGGTGTAATTGTTGTCTAATCCCTCTAATTTTGATTAAATATCTCCGCATTAATGCCGAGAGTTCTGATTTCAATAGCTTCAGAATTTTTTCTTATCTAAACATAATTTTATACATTACCTAAATGTCAGCAAGTTGAACTGATTCTAAGATATTTGGTTGTATCTATACGATTCCGCTCAGTTGCGAAAGCTAAAGATATTTGAGATTAAGAGAACTCGAATTTTCTACTGAATCAAATTAATTTTGATTACTGAAATACCAAATTTGCCGTTAAAAGAAGTATTTTATGTACGCCAAATAACATCATTTCTCGGAAATTACTAAATATACTTTTCGTAAGGCCTATTTAATAAGCAGTGACAATCATGAGCATCCACTCTCAACTTTCAAAATACTTAATTTGCTATCACCGCCTTGAAAACGATAAAATAATTAGCATTAAATAAATAGGTCCAAAGTATTTCGTGCCGCAAAAAATAACACACCACTTGTGTTATATATCCGTTGCTTTAAAGCAACAGCAACAATGTACACTAACGGTATTACAGTTAACAAACTCATTTATAATTAATCAAGAGTGTCAATAAACGACAAAGTGCCAGACCGAAACGGTGCTGATATCGCATAAACAAAAACAGCAACAAACAACAACAATATTAAAAACCAACAACAATTAGTTAATAGAAGCCAAACGCATTGAACCTACAACATTTTAGGGGTCAAACAAACTTTCGACGCTGCGCGTGACCCGGTAAAAAGGTAAGCGGCGAAAATTGTGGCAAGAGTTGAGCTGCCACACGCCGAGAGACTGGGCGCATCGAATGGCTGTTTATGCACGACAGAACAAAGTGAAAAACACCAAAAGTTTACAAATTAACAGGGTTAGCGGCAAGCAAAGACGCAGAGGTTGCTGAGAAAGGGTGAAAGAAGAAATTTTATTGTAACTGTAAAGAGGAAACCGAAATTAAATGCAAAGAAATTATATGAGAACACACGAGAAATAGTAGAAAAATAAATAAATTTAGAAGAGAGCAAAAGCCAAAAAGTGTTCAAGCATAGAAATTAAGTACCAACAACCAAAAGTATTTATAAGGCATTTACGGGTAAATCAAAGGGAATGCGAAAGTGAAAGTAGAAGAGTACAAACAAAAAAAAAATTAGCTA